AACATGAATTCAAAATGATATATTCTTCGAAAACGTGCTACTTCAAGAAAACATTATCTTTAATTATTGTTTCTTCTTGAATATTAATAATATAGAAAATTAATTTCCTTTGAAAATTACAACTCGATATTGAATTGTTTAATTTGTGTTTTTGAAGGAATACAATGAGATATATATTATTTGAAATGTGTGCTATTTCAAGAGCACACTATATTTTATCATTGTTTCTTCAAAAGTAATAAATCAATATTCTTCTAGAATATTAAAATTATAATATCATACTCTTTTGGAGCAATTAATATTCTTTTAAAATATTAAATATAATCTCATGTTACTTTAGAAGAAACAAATATTTTCTAATAGACATATCAACGAGTAAAATTCTTCTTGAATATTGAAATCGGAGTGTCATGCTCTTCAGGATCAATAACATATTATTGTTTAAAATAATAAATTGTATAAGAATTTTCTCTTCAGAAATAAAAATATAATTTATGTTAGTTTTTATTTAATTATGCTCTTCAAGAGCAAGTGAAATCTAACTAGAATATTAATCTTGGTGTGCTATTTCAAGAACAATAATATGATAAATTATGAATTAAAAGTCTATAGAAGAACTAAAGAAATTAATCAATTTATACTATAATAAATTTTTGGAACAAGAGTATTTAATGCACGCATTAAATACATTAGATAATCGCATATAAATTTGTCTAGTATGATGTTATCATACAACTTCTGTAATTATTGGAGATGTATGAGTGCCTATAATAATAATATATTATGATAACCAAATTCAGCTCTTGTTCTCTGGCCTGTTGGGACACATTCCGCGATTTACCTCCCTCACAAAACTTTAGGGGCGGGATGGTGAGACCCTCAATATTGGGATTCAACCTTTATATTATGATAACCAAATTTATTGTGTACCCATCAATGTATTAATAAATTGTAAGTGTTTGATTTGACGTTGAACAGTAGTTAATGTACATCAACGTCACATGATGAGCAAATTGTAGTTTCCTATCGAAGAGAAATCAGTTTTAGGAACTTGGAGGTCCAAATGTGGTGGCAAGCTAATGACGGACAAGTCAGTCGATTCTTGAGAAGGTGCTGCCAATAGTTGTTGGCTACTAATCAGAAACATGGAGGGGTAGAAAGAATACGTGCCAGGAATGGGCATAAATTGTCTTACCAACGGTACCTCATTTATAGGATTTGACTAATTTAAGCCGTGTTCTATCCTAAAAAGAAAATTCGCACCGATAATGTGTTATAAATTAGAGAGAAAAGGAGAAGATATAATATGAGTCAATATACTTGTATATTTTATTAAAAATCAAAATCTCATATTTATAGAGAAGAATTAGGGTTACTAAGGATACAACGGGGTATAAAAGTCATTAATAAATGCTACTATATTTACAACAACGACCACGATATAAAAATTCTCAATGTTTTCAAACCCGAACTAGACCGGTCAGTTAGACCGAAAAAACCACGACCCGATTAGAAAATCGGTTCGATTGGTATCTTGTAACCAGAGATACAAAATCCGGTAAAATGATTGGTTCAACCGGAAATCGGTGAACAATCGATGAACCGGACATGATTTTGCCGAGTTTTTCAGCAAGCTTGCAAAGGAAAATAATAATAATAAGATAAAAGACCGTAGAGACAGATATGTCAATAAACGCTTCTCCGACTCGAGCAAGTTATGTGAAACAAACGTTTTGACTTTTTCAATGATTTCCAGGTTTATAACATTGTTGGGCCTATCTATTTTATATGTAAGCTTATAATCTTCTTTTGGCCCATTTAACTTTTATGTGATATGTAATGAAATAATTATTAAAATATAATTTACAAATATTAGAAACTTAAAAAAATTCAACTTAATGTTAATTTTTTAAAAATTTTATATTGATATATTAATTTAATTTTTAATAGTATATATCTTTATAAAATTTAAATAACTCAATTTTCGTGTTGATCCGATTTAACCTCGATTCGATCCTTCAACTCTTAACCCTTTTAATTTTTTGGGTCAATGCCCGATTCAATTTTGAAAACATTGCAAATTCTTTCCTCAACAAATCTTTGTCATCGGCTATCGTCTAAGAAAAATTATCCCAAAATTTTCTTGTCTCTATGCTATGACTTGTGAATATCAAAGTGTAACGTTTATTTCTCTCCACTCAGACGACATAATTTGTTTGAAAAAATAATTCGTCACCGACGATATCGACAAGTTAGAGCATGTGATAATGTTGTCTTCTGACCCCATTAATTCTGTGGTTTTCGTTCTCCACAAATAAAGGGATGGGACCAGTGGCTTTTGGCCTCTATCTATTTTTTCAGGCTCTGAATTTAGTGAATTATTTCACCACCAACATAGAGCCTGTTTGGGGTGATTTTAAGATTTGATTTTTTGATCGTTAGGAGAAAAGCGGGATCCACCTGTGAGAGAAGAAGTCAAATATGACGGTTGGAATAGTGAAATAACGATAAAAAAATCAATTTTTTAGACGAAAAAATCGGGTCCAAACAGGCCCATAAACTAAATGTGTGTAAAAAAGTAATGTTACGCCTGAAGGCCCTACACAATATATATTTTTTTTTTGGGGAGAAATATATTTTGTAATAATAATTTTTTTTAAGAATGAGTGATTAAAAATAAGAAAAAAATTTAAATTTACGTTTAAAATCATTTTATAAAAGAATGTGGTTATAAATGACTTCTAAAAAAAATGAGTTCTGGAAAAAATTGGCTCAAACATGGGTAGATAAGATTTAGCTCGTCAAAAAATTGATAGGATCTACTTCGTATGACTTGTGAAAATTTAATACTGCTTTCGAAATTAAAAAATTACTGTTAGCTTTTGTTTGAGCCACGTTCTTTTAAAAATTCATTTTTTAAAAGCTCATTTTTAACAATACATTTTTTAATAAAATAATATTACACATTAATTTAAAACTTTTCCTTAATCTTTAATCGCACATTCTCCATCATTCACGCATTCTTTCACGTAAAATAGGGTTCAAACATGGGTTTAAACATATTGGAATTATTTTTTAAAAAGTATTTTGTCTGTTAAGTTGAGAAAAATCAAGTTAAATTTGGTCCACATGCATTGATTATCTTAGGTCACACTCCACTTTGTAGAGACCGGCAAAAATCCAAGTAATAAGCATGTGTTTGCCCCCATTATTCCTCATTACATTAAATTAAATTTTTCTCTCTCCTACTTTTAACCACACAATTTTCAATAAAATAATATTACACGAAATAATATTACACGTAAATCAAAAACTTTTCAACCACTCATTTTTCAAAAACATACTATTCATCTCATTATAATTTAGGAATAATGGGGCTCAAACGGGGGCTAAATAAAATTCGAATTTTTTGTTAGCTGTACTTATCATAGCCCTTTTTTGGTACTCATTAATTACCATTTGGCCATAATTAAATTTTATTACATTACATTCTATTTTTCTCTCTTATTTTTAATCATACAATCTTTTATAAAATAATATTATACGTAAATAAAATAATATTATACCTAAATAGAAAATTTTTCCTTATTTTTCAACCACTCATTTTTAAAAAAAAAAATATTCTACCGTTTTCGTTTCTAGAATATGGAGGCCAAACAGGGATTGAATTATATTTTATTTTTCTCTCTCCTATTTTCAATCGCACAATCTTCCATAAAATCATATTGCACGTAAATCGATTTTTTTTTTCTTTTTCAATTATTTATTTTTAAAAAAAATATTATTTCCCCCATTTTTAGAAAAGTCCAAACATAGGCGTAAATGAGAAAATGAATAAGAGTGTTAAATTTGAATTGTAGCCTTAACTTTATGCATTTTAATGACTTCTTGCTAGATAAAACCAGCCCAATAAGGAGTTCTGGTCAACTGCACTTCAAACTCATAGTTACTTGGACTGCCTATCTTAATGCCTTACTATAATGTTTCTGACAAGGCATAAAATGTGATATGAATTTCTGCGTAATCCTTTATTATCGAAGAAGCCACTTGATTTTAAGTATACATTTATTCATGGCACAGACTAGTCGTACATTCTACAAATATAAACTGAGCCGGTCTTTAAATCAGTTCATCGCAGTATTTATTTTGGAATAATCAAGGAGTGGCAGAATTCTGAAAAAACACAACCCAGTTAAGCTAAGCAATAGACATGGTTTAATATCGGTGTAATTGTGGGTTTTATATTAATTTGAGTTTAGGCCAACATTCAAATCAATCAGAGGCAGTTGAAATTTTATTGGTCGAATATGGACTAGATTTTTCTAATTTATGTGAACTGGACAAGGTTGCTGCATGGTCATGTGTAGAGGTGGTGGAATAGAATAACTCAGTTAAAGCGTAATGATCATATGTCTGAAATGCAATGTATGTTTCATAATAGATCCCATTCTTCTACCCTTTTCACATCTTCATCCATATGATGCCAATTACTAGGATTGATCGGAAGTTCGATTCTATCTGGACTACTTATTTTCAAATTATATTAACATTGACTTGACATATCAATTTCAATATGATGAACCTCAACTTTGTTCAAACCTAAGAATGTATTCTATCAGTACCTTTTGATCCATATCAATAACGACCAAGGATGAAGAAGCCGTTGAGTCAAGTATTAGACTGTTTCCAAATAGGTTCTTCTCGAAGTGGTAATTAACAAGTCAAGGAACTCATTGACCCAAGGCTGATCTAAGGCAAAGACTCCGATCATGGTACAAGTCCTAAGAATGCAGCTTCATAGAGTTCTTTCCAAACAAACTAATACTTTGCATAAACAACAAACATATGTTTTTAAAAAAATTGAAAACCAATTATGTCCACGCCGAAAAAGTTAATAATAAACATTTCGGGTGCCGGCAGCACAACTAGAAAAGAGTTGTGATGTACAATTATAGTTCGAATGCAGTCTGATTTACGCTTGGTTGGAGTGGGAGTTGGGGTGGCAGTTTCAAAAAATGACAGGTGAAAACTAAATATTTCCTACATGTTTCATGGGGAAAACATGTGCAACATTAAACATTATTATTTATTTCGGATTCCCCAAAGTTTGGTTCGTTGTTTTCAATATCTGTGTGTCTCTTCTTAACAGACAAAACATTGTCCCCAGTATTTTATCCCAGGCTGCATTCTCAACTGGCTCTGATCATCACTTTTCTGTGGTATTCTCAGTGTCTTAAAATTCTGTTTATTCTTCTTTGAATCTCTATACATGCAACTGGATGATATTCTCGTATTCTTTTGTACATAATTTACGTAGATGCTGTATGGGAAAAGTTCGTAGTCGAATCACAGTTTGATGGTAAGATTTATTTTTAATTTTCTGATTAAGGGCTTCCCTATTCTTTCTGTCTTTTGCAGGCAAAATGTCTTGCAGCTCAACGGCTGCATGGGAATTCACGACGAAGAAAGTAAATTCGTCTGAAAACATGGCTGAATCCAACGACTCGTTCCAAAAATGCCATCTTACAAAAATTCTACGCCGTATTCAAAAATCAACTAATAAGACCAGACGAGGAGAAAGTAGAAAGGCTCCTCCCGGCCTTTGCCCTTTAGTGCCACCAAAATTTGGTGGTGGTTTTCGATATCCAACCTTGCTGAAGCAACGGTTGCTTCCTATGATGATCAAGTACGTTCTTGCACTTGTACGATTAACATATACGTATACTACTGGACTGTATCGATTTTTCCCCTTTTTTGGGCTGACTTTTCCTCGAATTTGTGATAAAAATAGGGGTGATGGTACTGTTGCAGCTCTATCAAGTGACAAATCTGAAGGAGAACAGCTAACAATTTTCTATAATGGAGTTATCAATGTGTATGAAAATGTTTCTGTCGATAAGGTATAAAAAAATCTATTTGCAAAAATAATTTGATTATTGGAACAAATAAATTTAGGGTTTCTTGAATGATGCTAGATTGAGATTATGAGTTCAATTAAATTTTTATTGGATCAACAGGCAAAGGCTATTATGCTTCTGGCAGGTGAAAATTCTGTGTCAGCTCCAGTTGTGGAAGATGCATCAAAAATTTCACAGAAATCACCAGTTTGCAAGTTACAACCAAGTAATTCTCAATTTTTTAATCTCCACACTTCAACTTTAAGTAATTCGGATAGATTGAATAGAATTTTGAGAAAGAATTCATGTAACTGACTCGTAATTCTTAAAAATTACTAGTAGATTGTCATATATTCTTAAAAGGAAGTTGAAAAAAATTATTTGTCTAATATTTTTTAATATACAGATTCAAGTTATCCTTACTTTCTTTGCCTTCTTTCAGATCTTCCAATTGCTACAAAGCGTTCTCTAGAGCTTTTTTTTAACAAACGACGAGACAGGTGCATTCTCATATACTTAGCCTCTGTTTGGTTTAGATAAGAATCAGATTTTCGGTAAATTTTGATAAAAGTTGATATATGGTTGAAAAGTTATAATTTCCGTTAAAATTAATTGTTAAGTTACACCAAACGGGGGCTTAATAGGATTTTGACCCTTGCCCTCCTAAATTTCTATGGTTCTCATTTAAAAACAAAATATAAATGTATATGACTCACGACAACTTAAACTTTTAGCTAAGACGAGTAAAAGGTTGTGATTTGGTGTGCAGGTTAATGAACAGAATTGCTCTAGTTCCTACCTCCGATGCACAACTCGAGGATGATTCTCAAACTCAAGAAAAGTTGTTAGCGTAGTATGTGAATTTAGGTAACACCGTTTGGTATTTGTAGTTATAATCTGTAGCTATAATCTTACTTTATATTACATTTTTATAATTGCATTTAACATAAATATAATGTATGATTGTTATAAACAAGAGAGAAAAAGAGGAGAGATAATTTGAGTTAATACACTTGTCTATTTTATTAAGAATCAAAACCTTATATTTACAGAGAATAATTAGGGTTACTTAGAATACAACAATTATAATGACTAGGATTGTAGATGTAAAAATGTCATTCATAAAATTACAATATTTACAATACTCCTCTTTGAATGACTATTTATACAATAATTATCTCATTGAAATATTGTTTGACAAAAAATTCTTTAAAATGTCAACAAATGAAAAAAGAGTAGAAATGATATTAAGTAATAAATGCTACATTATTAAAACCTTGTCAAAAAAATCCAGTGAAACAAAACTTGATAGAAGGAAAAAGAGTACAATTACTCTCTCTAATTTTAATTCTTATATTAAACGATCCTTGTCTTGTACGGCAATGTCTTCAATATTGATACCTTGTACGTGAATACCGTCAAATAACACTATCTTCATAAGAGATATTTTGTCAACATTTGATAACTGTAGTAATATGATGATTCAGAAAATAACTCTTATTGATCTCTTTGAGAGTCTCATACATATAGAAGTGTACTTTTTGAGGGCAAATGCCTCGTGGGTTAAGGACATCATTACATAAAGAATATGCCTCATTAAAACTTTATTAGAAAAAAATATGTGCGAAAATCTTAATGAAGGGAAAAAAAGAGTACATTATTTTTTTGAGTAATCTATAAAAGTTGTCTCATTAAAAATTTTGCCAGAAAAATTCAATGGAACAAAATCTTAGTCAAGGAAAAAGAATACAACGCGTATTTACTCACCCTCATGATAATATCACTTGAATTGTGCTTCAAGCATATTAAATCCTTCAATATTAATATTAAATTTATGTAAAATAAGTTGACTATGATTACAATTATTGTATGTATATCAAATTCCATGCATTGTCACGCTAATAGGGTAGAGACTTATAATTATATCAACCACATGATAAATTATTTATTTATACAAGTCTTCATGACATTTATTATGTAAAGAGTTGTATATTTCATATTATTACTTTACTTTTTTCATTTTCATTTCGCATAAGTATATACTTTTAGGTGTTCAAATATAGATTCAAAAATTTCAGTTTTCTCTACTAAGTTCAACCTTATTAGGATCGCGTCCAATTTATTTGGACAATCATCACTTCGATCAAAGACATCTATTTCAATATCTTTGCTATTCATAATATGATGTAGTACATCACATGCAAAAGTATTTTTGACAATTTTTTTTTTCAGTTCTATTTCTTTCTCCATAATGTCATAATTTATTGAGATATCTCAATTTTTAATATATTAGGTACTTGAACTTCTTCTCCAATTTTATAATTTGTTATGTCTATATACTTATCAAGAGTATACGCCTCCTTAACGAGACCATCTTTGCTAATTGCTCCATTTTCTTTAGTAGTTTTTTTGTATTAGAATCGAAATCAGCATGCTTCAGACGTGTAATAAATATATCAAATATAATATTAATTAATTATCCTTCCAAGAGCTAATTCAAGTTGGAGCATTTAAAGCCGACGTGTGTGATATTGTTGATCTCTTTAATCAGTAAATGCGTGTAATTGAATTATATTTCAAACTTTTAATTCAAATTATCTTTTACGAGGATTTAAATAACGATGCACTTAAACATCATTTTCAGCTTATTAATTCTTCCTCCTAATGCTGAAAGAATTGTCCAATCAAAATTGACAATTAACAAGTCGCTTTATGAAATATCACTCATTAGGACTTGAGTTATTATATAAGTATTCAAAGTATTCATTTATCCTCAACATTCTTTACTTTCCATCTTAGTGTAGTGTGGTGGATAAATTTTACATATACTGCACTATCATAATAATTAAGAAAAAGCCTCTTGCACAGGTCCTTTTGCACAGAGCCTATACAGAGGTTCTCACATGGGAGTGGACCCCATGTGTGGAGCCCACCACCATGTTTGTGCACCTGTACAAGCTCTGTGCAAGTAGCACAGTCGAAATAATTATATGAAAAAAATTAGGCTTTTACCATGAGCCAATTATAACATGGAGAACTATGATGTTGAGATGATGCATAATAACCTTTCCTAAATCTAAACAAAAATGGGAAGAACTTTGTTTTGAATTAATTGGAAGCATTTAATAAAAGATAATGTTAAACCATTTATCGACCTCTCAACTAACATTTACTAAAATTTTGAGATTTATGATCACTGGCATTAACAAAAGACAACGTCTTGATTTTATAATTTGAAAATTTTACTCGCAATTTAAAATTTAAACAGTAATTTTACAAACTTTAGGTTGCGAACATCATGCAATCATCTAGTATGTATCAAATCTATTAGATATAAATAATATTTAGATGGTCGACATGAAGGATGATAGGGCCCCATTTATCATCTTGATTAATTTTTAGAAATATAGGGAATTCAGTCCCTATTTTAACTAGTAATGTTTAATGATCAATTTTTGGTAAAGAAAACAAAAAACATATGTGAATTCATTAGATTTAAGAATCTTCAAGTTCTTCGTTGAATATTTATTTGAATTCTCAATTCGAATCGTATTGATCTAGCTATGATCTAGCTAGTCATGCCAAACAATAAAATCAAAATGAACTTCTAGTTCAATATAAAATATAATTTAATCATTTAATTTCGAAGAATATGATTGAACATTATATAATTATATATCATTCGAACATTATATAATTATATATCATTCAAGTAGTTAAACTAAATAATGTCATCATAACATTAGTTATATGTATTCCTTCGTAAATAAACATGAATTCAAAATGATATATTCTTTGAAAACGTGCTACTTCGAGAAAACATTATCTTTAATTATTGTTTCTTCTTGAATATTAATAATATAGAAAATTAATTTCCTTTGAAAATTACAACTCAATATTAAACTGTTTAATTTGTGTTTTTTCAGGAATACAATGAGACATATATTATTTGAAATGTGTGCTATTTCAAGAGCACACTATATTTTATCATTGCTTCTTCAAAATTAATAAATCAATATTCTTCTAGAATATTAAAATTATAATATCATACACTTTTGGAGCAATTAATATTCTTTTAAAATATTAATTATAATGTCATGTTATTTTAGAAGAAACAAATATTTTCTAATAGACATATTAACGAGTAAAATTCTTCTTAAATATTGAAATCAGAGTGTTATGCTCTTCAGAATCAATAACATATTATTGTTTAAAATAATAAATTGTATAAGAATTTTCTCTTCAGAAATAAAAATATAATTTATGTTAGTTTTTATTTAATTATGCTCTTCAAGAGCAAGTGAAATCTAACTAAAATATTAATCTTGGTGTGCTATTTCAAGAACAATAATATGATAAATTATGAATTAAAAGTATATAGAAGAACTAAAGAAATTAATCAATTTATACTACAATAAATTTTTGGAACCAGAGTATATAATGCACGCATTAAATACATTAGATAATCACATATAAATTTGTCTAGTATGATGTTATCATACAACTTCTGTAATTATTGGAGATGTATGTGTGCCTAGAATAATAATATATTATGATAACCAACCTAAAATAATAATATATTATGATAACCAAATTCAACTCTTATTTCCTGACCTGTTGGGACACATTCTACGATTTACTTTCCTCACAAAACTCTAGGGACGGGACGATGGGACCCTCAATATTGGGGTTCAACATTTATATTATGATAACCAAATTTATTGTGTACCCGTCAATGTATTAATAAATTGTAAGTGTTTGATTTGACGTTGAACAGTAGTTAATGTACATCAACATCACATGATGAGCAAATTGTAGTTTCCTATCGAAGAGAAATCAGTTTTAGGAACTTGGAGGTGCAAATGCGGTGGCAAGCTAATGAAGGACAAGTCAGTCGATTCTTGAGAAGGTGTTGCCAATAGTTGTTGGCTACTAATCAGAAACATGGAGGGGTAGAAAAAATACGTGGTAGGAATGGGCATAAATTGTCTTACCAACGGTACCTCATTTATAGGATTTGACTAATTTAAGTAACCCAAAAAGAAAATTCGCACCGATAATGTGTTATAAATTAGAGAGAAAAAGGTAAGATATAATATGAGTCAATATACTTGTATATTTCATTAAAAATCAAAATTCCATATTTATAGAGAAGAATTAGAGTTACTAAGGATACAACAAGGTATAAAAGTCAATCATAAATGCTACTATATTTACAACAACGAACACGATATAAAAATTCTCAATTGTTTTCAAACCCGAACTAGACCGGTCAATTAGACCGAAAAAACCATGACCCGATCAGAAAATTGGTTCGATTGGTATCTTGTAACCAGATATACAAAATCCGGTAAAATGATTGGTTCAATCGGAAATCGGTGAACAATCGATGAACCGGACACGATTTTGCCGAGTTTTTCAGCAAGCTTGCAAAGGAAAATAATAATAATAAGATAAAAGACCGTAGAGACAGATATGTCAATAAACGCTTCTCCGACTCGAGCAAGTTATGTGAAACAAACGTTTTGACTTTTTCAATGATTTCCAGGTTTATAACATTGTTGGGCCTATCTATTTTATATGTAAGCTTATAATCTTCTTTTGGCCCATTTAACTTTTATGTGATATGTAATGAAATAATTATTAAAATATAATTTACAAATATTAGAAACTTAAAAAAATTCAACTTAATGTTAATTTTTTAAAAATTTTATATTGATATATTAATTTAATTTTTAATAGTATATATCTTTATAAAATTTAAATAACTCAATTTTCGTGTTGATCCGATTTAACCTCGATTCGATCCTTCAACTCTTAACCCTTTTAATTTTTTGGGTCAATGCCCGGTTCAATTTGGAAAACATTGGAAATTCTTTACTCAACAAATCTTTATCATCGGCTATATCGTCTAAGAAAAATTATCCCAAAATTTTCTTGTCTCTATGCTATGACTTGTGAATATCAAAGTGTAACGTTTATTTCTCTCCACTCAGACGACATAATTTGTTTGAAAAAATAATTCGTCACCGACGATATCGACAAGTTAGAGCATGTGATAATGTTGTCTTCTGACCCCATTAATTCTGTGGTTTTCGTTCTCCACAAATAAAGGGATGGGACCAGTGGCTTTTGGCCTCTATCTATTTTTTCAGGCTCTGAATTTAGTGAATTATTTCACCACCAACATAGAGCCTGTTTGGGGTGATTTTGAGAATTGATTTTTTGATCGTTAGGAAAAAAGCGGGGTCCACCTGTGAGAAAAGAAGTCAAATATGACGGCTGGAATAGTGAAATAACGGTAAAAAAATCAATTTTTTGGATGAAAAAATCGGGCCCAAACAGGCCCATAAACTAAATGTGTGTAAAAAAGTAATGTTACGCCTGAAGCCCTACACAATACTTTTTTTTTTTTTTTTGGGAGAAATATATTTTGTAATAATAATTTTTTTTAAAAATGTGTGATTAAAAATAAGAAAAAAATTTAAATTTACGTTTAAAATCATTTTATAAAAGAATGTGGTTATAAATGACTTCTAAAAAAAATGAGTTCCGGAAAAAAATGGGATCAAACATGGGTAGATAAGATTTAGCTCGTCAAAAAATTGATAGGATCTAGTTCGTATGACTTGTGAAAATTTAAAACTGCTTTCGAAATTAAAAAATTACTGTTAGCTTTTGTTTGAGCCACGTTCTTTTAAAAATTCATTTTTTAAAAGCTCATTTTTAACAATACATTTTTTAATAAAATAATATTACACATTAATTTAAAACTTTTCCTTAATCTTTAATCGCACATTCTCCATCATTCACGCATTCTTTCACGTAAAATAGGGTTCAAACATGGGTTTAAACATATTTGAATTATTTTTTAAAAAGTATTTTGTCTGTTAAGTTGAGAAAAATCAAGTTAAATTTGGTCCACATGCATTGATTATCTTAGGTCACACTCCACTTTGTAGAGACCGGCAAAAATCCAAGTAATAAGCATGTGTTTGGCCCCATTATTTCTCATTAAATTAAATTAAATTTTTCTCCCTCCTACTTTTAACCACACAATCTTTAATAAAATAATATTACACGTAAATCAAAAACTTTTCAACCACTCATTTTTCAAAAACATACTATTCATCTCATTATAATTTAGGAATAATGGGGCTCAAACGGGGGCTAAATAAAATTCGAATTTTTTGTTAGCCGTACTTATCATAGCCCTTTTTTGGTACTCATTAATTACCATTTGGCCATAATTAAATTTTATTACATTATATTCTATTTTTCTCTCTTATTTTTAATCACACAATCTTTTATAAAATAATATTATACCTAAATAGAAAATTTTTCCTTATTTTTCAACCACTCATTTTTAAAAAAAAAAATATTCTACCGTTTTCGTTTCTAGAATATGGAGGCCAAACAGGGATTGAATTATATTTTATTTTTCTCTCTCCTATTTTCAATCGCACAATCTTCCATAAAATCATATTACACGTAAATCGAATTTTTTTTTTCTTTTTCAATTATTTATTTTTAAAAAAAATACTATTTCCCCCATTTTTAGAAAAGTCCAAACATAGGCGTAAATGAGAAAATGAATAAGAGTGTTAAATTTGAATTGAAATGTTTGTGTGTATGTTTCGCTTTTTCTGGACAAAGAATCTCTTTCTTTATACCAAGAAATGACTTATTCGGCCTCTTTATAATTTTATTATTTGGCTTTTCTGAGGATGAAATGACTCTCTCATGCTTTATTCGAGAGTGAAATATATTTACGATCTGTCTTCTAACACTTTCTTTAATTAATTTATTGTAAAATAAATAAATAAATAATTGCATAATACCATATTAATTATATGAAATAATAATCTACATTATTTAAACTCTTGCAAAAAGAAGGGAAAATTGAAAAGATACATTGTATTTTTGCCAAGCATTAATTGATGATAAACATCTCAACTTAAATTGAAATATCCATCATCTCCATGGCCAAATTCTCCATCATCAAAGCCTCTACTTCTCCACTGCACTGCATCTTCCCTGCAAAATTTAATTTAATTTTCAAGTAATCAAGGCCATTTGGCAGTGCTTGAAGAATAAAAAAATAATAATAATAATTGCTTCCCAGACTAGGAATCTATTTCTGAACAAATTTGAATAAGGGTCCATTTGACATATTTTTTGGTTTTGCTTTTCGTAGAAAAGTTTTTGGAGAAACTACTTTTATATTCAAAAACTAATTTTTAAAAAAGCTTTATATTTCAAAAGTATTTTTTAAAAAAAATCATATTAAATCAATTTTCTCTAAAAATTCTTTTAAGTAGAAAAATACTTTCATAAAATTAGCCAAACGGATTCAAAAATATATTTTACATTTCAAAAGCTTCTTTTAACTTTTTAAAAATCATGTCATACAGACCCTAATTTCTTGAAGTGTCGCAACTACAATAACTTTTAGAGGAAGATGGCTTAACGTAACTTTCTCTTGAAACTCAAGTCTTTTACAAGAAGTTGAAGCCCTACAAAACAGTCATTTGGAAAGTACATGATAAATGAAAAAATAATGACTTACAACCATAAAAGGATGATGAGTTGTTGAGGTTAGTAGTTTTGATGGGGCAAGATGGTGCTGAGAGTGGAAGAACTGGCAAATTCTGGCAATTGCAAATTTCAATCATGTAGCCATCAGGATCATGGAAGAATATTTGATCAACTATGATTCCACCTTCTTTAACAACTGCTTTTACATATTCTATTTTCATTTCTTCCAATTTCTGAATAATTCGTTCCATGTCCGTGCATTGGAATGATATGTGATTGTCTTTTGGATTTATTTTCCCTTTCTTCTGTGGGATTTTCTCTGTTTCGAGTAAATGAATTCCAATTCCATGATTGAACAACCTGCAGCAAAAATCAGGTTTTCAGTAAATTAAAGGTTGAATCTCAACTTTAAGGGGCCCACCATCCCACCCCGGGACAAGAAGTTAATCGTGAGATGTGCCCCAACAAGTTAGAGATGTGCCCCCAACAAATTAGAGAACAAGATCTGCCTTGTATACTGGTGTCAACAAAAAATCTCAATTCATGTATCAGGAATCGAACCCATACATTACGACTGTCAGCAAAGTTGAGTATACCTCACCCTTGACAACAGACTTTCAATAGATTGATTATAGCTTGGGACATGCATGTGCGTCGGAGTTACAAGTATATTTCAATTTTTCTTAACAAAAAAGGATGCACGAAACATATAGCATACCAGGCTCCTTCAAAGTCGAACGAAGAGGGTCTTTTGATGAGGACGAACCCCAAAACTTCCTCGTAAAATTTAACAGATCTTCGGACGGATTTGCAAATAAACGAGACGTGATTTAAAGACAAATAAGGCAAATTATTTTCTTGGTTTGAAGATTCTAACACTTCAACAATTTCTCTCCCCATCTTGACTCTAATCTTTCTCTTTTCTCTCTTCAACTCACTCTTTCTTTGAGTGGCTATGAAAATGAGTAAATTGTTGTATATATAAGCAGAGTATGATATCCATTATGAGATGCGAAGGTAGTAGAACTGTAATTTATTTAATTTTTATATTATTTTATTTTGGAAAATAGTACATGTCAATCCAACGTGTAATAATGGAGTGAAGAATTGTAGTTCGATCTCATCAATGTCCACCTACCCGCTTGCCCCAATCTATATCACACTCAAACAAAACAATGACGTAAGAGCGGGTACAACTTGTAATAATTCATCCATATTTTCAACTTTTCATAACCAGACCTCGATTTTAATTTTTCTTTTTATTTCTTATCAACTTATATGTGCGTCTTCGTATGTATATAGGACATATATGCGTACCCCCGGGTTATAATTCAGTGATGCAAAGAATAAAATTGAGGCAATCTCAGCCTTGCTAGCAACGACAGTGTGAGAATTCGATTTCTGAAATATGGAATTGGATTCTTTGTGGACATTAGTGTGCGGGCAAGTTCTTATTCTTTGGCCTACTGAGATACATCCCGTGATTTACTTCCCTCACGATGTTCCAAGGACAGAACGTTGGGGGCCCTTAAAGTTGGGATTCAACCTTTTTTTCATATATGCGAACATGGATGGATTTCAACTAACTTAGTCGCTATTATTATTGACGAAGTTAATCAAAGTACGAAATTCGGTGAATTGGACCCTAGTCAAATCCTGTCATCATAATTGGACCAATCCACAATTGAACCGCTCGAGTTTTGCTCAAAATTGGTGAATCGACTAGTTTATACTAGACAATCTATTGCAAATTTTCAACAAGGTTTTCGAAAACTCACAAGTAATATAAATTTGTAATGATAAATATAAATGACCAAGTAATATGAAAAACATATAAATTAAATTTTATAGAGAAAATTTGAGAAGTTATATGTTTCAATTATTAGATGAATTCTTAATTTCTATTTTAACTTATAAACCTATAGTTATATTTACACCTTAAAAAAATAAATAAATAAATTGGACCCGTCAATTTAACTAGTGGGTTGTAAATTGGGTCATCAGCAAGCGGCCTGTGGCCCGGCCTAGCTCGTGGCTCAGAAAAACCGAGCCCCCAAAAAAAAAAAAAAAAAGAATTGCTGATTACTTTTATTGAATTTAAATTTAAACGGTTTGATTTTTTTGGTTATAAATATAATTAAATTTCTCAATTTCATATCAATTTTAACTTGTAATACGATGATTGTAGCCAATCCCAAGATTGGAAAAGCAAGGAAAGTTATAATTCGTAAAAATTGTATGAATGAAAACATTTTTTTTAAAAAAATCGTAAGAATTGTCACAAAAAAAAATAAAAAACTCATGAGCCGGCCCGACTCGGTAAAAGCCAAGCCGAAAGATTGGGCTGAACCTAGATTTTTGCCTGGCCAACAACCTACATTATTTTTAATTTTTTATTTCCCCAGGATATTCTAGATGCTGGAGGGGTAGTAGTACGAGCAAAGCACGGCCCCAATAGTACAACAAACCAAACAATGGGACTTTTCATTAATGAGAGAATAATAACACAATATTTGTTTATTTTTATTTCCAAATGTTTCTTCTCTCTTATGCCCTCATACTTATAAGTTAAACCAGTTAAAGGCAATTTTCATTGATTGATAATGAAAAGGTAGCAAAATCATAAATAATTTGAATTAGTCACTTGATCAAAGTTAAGATGACCCCATCTGGAAAAAAAAATTAGATCTTTCAATAAATGAAGCAAAGGACTACGAGCAATCTTAAATTTATTGAAAATAAAATCAACATAAAATCGTTTCTTGGTTATTTAAAAGATTGCTAATAATATAGGCTTACTAATTGCATCCAATTAGAGGAGGTTGTCCACCTGTATTTGAAGGGATAATTCTATATATACATTATGGTATTCATGGTGTGTGTGTGTATATATATATATATATATATAGGATCATGCTACATTCACACAATTATTTACACAATAGTTTACACACTCGACACTTGGTTGCCCCCAGCCCCTCCAATAGGGGGCAGCCAAGTGTCGAGTGTATAAAAAATTGTGTACAAATAGTTTTATCTCTATATATATATAGAGCATTCCATGATTGAAGGGTTGAAAAAATTGTTTTTCAACTCTCCAATGATGTTATGCCACTTATACATTATGAACATCCTTATAAACACCGTCATACACACGTAGTATAACCCTTAGTGAAGAAAGCTTATTAAAAATTGTGTATTCATTTCTTTCATGCCTACACTCTACATTTTTCTATGTTCTCTTTCTTCCTGTAATGACCAACATAAAAAAAACATGTATAAGATTAGTGGCTGAGATTCGACCCGACACCACTTGTCATAAATTCTTATCAACTATAATTTCGATTATTACGTTCTTCATTAATCTTTCATTAAAGTCAAAGATCCATACAAGTCCGTACAATTGTACTCATATTTCTTAATCTAGCATTTCTTGATAAACAAAAAACAGTCATACGCACAAAACATCAATAATTGAAGTATTATATTAAGAATCCCAATAATTGTGAGTAGAGGTGGCCCGCGTAGACATATCTGTAGGTTGAAGGCGATAGATCATAGAAGTGAAGATTATTTTTCACTTTTTTAATTAACTATTGTGCCGTTGAATTATTTTACCTTTTCTTTAATAATTATTTATGCACTTATTTTTGGAATGATATAATTAATTTTTTCATTGAGCAGAAGAAAGATTTATCATTAAGATATAATCTTTTTTTTTTTTTGAACGAGCATCCAAAAAGAGCAAGACAATAAGGAAAAACACATATTTTTTTTCCTTTCCCAACTCAAAATTTATTTTATTTCCTTATTTTCCTCAAAACTAGTTAATCATAAACTTCATATGCAAGTTCTATAAAATAATTTCATCTTTCTCTCTTCTACCAAATACATCATTCTTGTTTGAAGCTATTAATGATTTGAATGGAGCATGCGAAATTGGTAATCAAGTTTAATTCCTCATTTTCCATTCTCAAAAGCTATATTCAAATTTGATGTTTTAACCTGATGCATGATTTCAAACAGAGCTGTATTTTGAAGGTCGATATGCGTTGCGATGCATGTAAGAGGAAGACATTGGAAGTATTGAACTCCATTTGCAGTATCTTCAACACAATAGGAATTTTTCATAAATGAATAGTAGCAAGAGAATTCAATATAGAATTTATTTTTTTTCCGACTTGGTCGTAAAATTATTAGTTTATTTACGCCATTTTGCAAGGTGTGTATTCTGTGACCTTCAGCGCAAAAGAAGAGGTAACAAAAATATGGGGCGAGGTGGATCCGAATCTACTTTTGAGTGCCTTAGCAAGACCTGGACAACATGCAGAGATTGTATGGGCCAAACTCGACCATCCAAGAATCGATAGAGGTTACTATAATGACCATAATTCTTATAGGTACTCTAAATATGGTTCGATAGAAGACACCAATTGGCACCGGAGGGCATTGCCGGATTCATCCTACAACCAAAACTACTGCTATGATGCTACTCCGCTGCCTGCAGGTAGGTACGTTCCATCATATACAGCGCCGGAATATCCCTATGTTGAAGAACAATCACTGGGTTTTTGCAATATAATGTGACAGTTTATATAAAGGTTATTGGGAATGTTTTTCTTTTCAGTTTTTTGTACTGGATATGCCAGAATGGCCTTTACTTAATGTGCATGCCAAGATTTGAAGGGTAGTAGAGTAACTGTTTTTTATGAAGTATAATGACTTTTTCCGGATTCAGACAAAGCACGTTAAGCTAAAAATATTAAGCCTTTTAAGCGACTGACCTCGAACTTCGATTTCAGAATCAGTGTATTAAACTTTAGCCCTCTCGTGAATGCAAGTTGGGTACCTCTACTGGTCGACATGTTCAGCTTTAGCAGAGGAAATCTTCAAGCACTTGCTGAGGAACCATCACTTGCGTACGTCAAAGCAAATCCAGAATTCATTGATACCATAATTGTCTCCACAAGCTCCGCTTAGTGTTGTTCCTTCTTCATCCTCCTCGTCTTCCTCTTCTATTCTTTCTAACTCTTCTGTCATTGCAGACTTTTTAAGCCCCCTGAGCTTGGATTCAGGCTGTCGAGATTGCTATGAGAAGTTAAAAGGATAAAACTTCATAGACTATAGTAGAATTATATAAGAGAACAAGGTTAAAAGCATCTTTGGTTAAGATTAAAAAGCACTTATAAGTAAATAAATTATGAAATAAATAATATTTGTTATTGGTCAAAGTTGGAAGTACGTTGCCATTTGGCAATAAGGTAAGACTTAGTACCAACATAACTTTTTGTACTTCAAAGTAAGAAATCTGAACGTGTTTGGAACTAACTTTACTCCGACAATATTAGCCAAATATGCTGATGTAGAACCTGAATGCTACGTTATGGAAAATGATACTTACCATACTCTGCCTCGATTTGTTCTTGCAATGGTTATCCTGAACAGCAGCAGCCATGTCCTTTGCCTGCTTAAGAGCTCTAGCCACAACTTCAACTACAGTTGGATGATCATCGATAATCTCGAATAGCCTTTCCCTGTGAAAACCAATTTTCAACCAAGGTTGGAACGAAATATGGTTTAATAGGTTCTTTTATGATACATATAGACACATAATTTTATCATCCCGTACTCTTCCAACAATACTAGCAAGCTAACATCCAAAAACAGTCTTATATACCAACATCTAGTGGGATACTGATAAGAACCTGTTGCAGAGATACTCACTCCCCGAAATTAATGACTGCACTCAAGATAAAAACGGAACAAGATGCTATTAAATGGAATGCTGATTCTGGTTTCAATAACGTGGTACTACTGTAATTGCATAAACACTACTGGATGAAGATAACACACTTCCAGAAACAATAAGGAAAAGATAAACATAAATGGACATTCGAGAGGTCCACCACTCTCCCAAGTTACAACCCAATTTTTCCCCCTTAATATCTTCTACCTCATCTCTATTTATTAGTATTTTGTAACCAAATCTAACAGAATCTGTTACTATTAACTGCTTCTCAATTCTTCCGGGTCCTTCTAGAGGTTGATAGGATTCTATCAGATACACAAATCATCTTAGCAACTGTAGACACACACCCCCAAGGTTTACTACAATTACTTTAAATATGCCTGAGCAGCAGCAGTCATGTCATTTGCCTGCTTAAGGGCTATAGTCACAACTTCAACTACTATTGGATGATCATCGATCATCTTGAATAGCCTTTCCCAGTGAAAACCAATTTTCAACCAAGGGTGGAACGAAATATGGTTTAATAGGTTCTTTTATGATACATATGGACACATAATTTTATCATCCAGTACTCTTCCAACAATACTAGAAAGCTAACATCCAAAAACAGTCATATATACCAACATCTAGTGGGATACAAAAATCATCTTAATAACTGTAGAAACACACACCCAAGGTTTACTACAATTACTTGATATGTGCCTGGATAACATCCTTTTTTGATTGGGTATATTTTCAACTATTCCAGGAGCCCGTCAATTAGTTAGTTATAGACATATGCTAGTTATTGGTACATTTATGTGGGCTTTATGAATTCGTTCAAGCTCAGAATATCTTATCAAAATTTACCACAGCCATCAATTAGTTAAGCATAGCCAAAGTGTCTCATGAAAGTTGTAGATCAAAATCTGGAAATATTTGTTTCTACAAATATAATGCCACACCAAAATAGAAGTTCACTAGAAAGACACCAATCTAAAAAATATATTACCTACCACTCGTATGATGTAGCAGAGAAAGTGGTGTTGGCTTATTTGGAGAAATGGGACAATGTGAATGGGAAGGAGGTCAACCATCAACTGCATAGAAATTATCTGAATTCAAAATCCTCAGAATTGGTATTTATGATAGGTTATCCTCGTAAGGTAAGAAAAAGCAACCATATACTTAAAATGACAGCATGTAAAATATATTACTACAGAATTATTGAAGATCCACTAATGTCTGTCATAAAATGCTATTGTCAACTATATATTTTATTTTTTCCCAAAGCATATGTATAAATTTGACATGTGAGGATTTAACATTTTAGGAATCATATCTTTCTCTCACCAAAACAAATATCTAACATAAAAGAAAACGATAGTTGAGAAATATGTGGAACCCTAAGTTCAGGAGAAAGAGAAAACACAGAGGTCTTCAACTACACAGCAAACTTTAGAAAGGAAAAACAAAAACACAAAAAACTCTAAAATCACTACTTCTAGAATCATGCAGGTTATACATCCATCTTTTGACGTTTATCCCAATTTTCATAGATAAAATGAACAAAATACACATTGCACTAGATTTTCAGAAATATGTATGACTCTTAGAAGTTTATTCCGGCTTAATCTTTTGGAATATAATTTTCGATTATTCTACGCTGATATTCAGACTTTTAGAAGATTTTCTTTGCATTAGCACCATTCTCTAGTACTAAACTTGGTCAATGTCAGAACTTCCCCAC